CATAAGTTGATTTCAAACCTGTTTTGTCTGTATGCATTTATATGGATAAATACATATACTATATGCAAACATAATTTTGTTTTCAAAGGTAGAAACGAAATATCCGGTGTTTTTTTTTTCACAATGGGAATCTGTTCCTTCAATGTAATATTTGATTATTATAATATATATAATATATAATTATTTATATATTCAGCATATGAAGAATGTAAATTTTCTTTTGGTGCAACTGCTGCTATTTACAGCTACTTTTATAACTGTAAACTTCTTGAAAGTTTGCAGCAATTTTCAAATGGGGGGGCTGTCAGAGACTTCTCTTATGTGGAGGATTATCTTAAAGGCATACTATGCAACATTTTTCAGTTAATTAATGTGTTCCATAACGTTTTGGATGATTAAATGAGTCATTTCAGGTCGAACAAAGGTTTTCTCGGCCGCCCTGGTGGTCTGTAGGGGAAATACCGTACTTGCAATTGCAGGAGCCCTCGGCCCGCACCTACAGAGAAGCATCCCGCCGCAGCCTGCAGGAGGGCAGGGCTTGACATCAAGCTCCGCCTTCCCGCAGGCTGCAGCGGGATGTACTTGGACCCACAGGCTCAGAAGTCTCATGCATCACGAGAGTCGGTCTTGCTTTACGGCGAGAACTTGGCTAACTACAATTTTTGTTATTTAGACACATCCATAACAAATAATGTATGAAAACATGCTGAATTTTCAAACTCGAAAATTGGAACAAAATAGTCACTTACCGCAGTAGACATGGGGATTCATGCGTTCGCCTGTCTGCTAAGCTCAAAACAACCGCGCCTGGCTTGACGGAGAAACCAGCAGATTTACGACAGTGCACTTTAATTTTCGCCCTCTGGAGGGGAGCCTCGTTGGAAAATCAACACCGGTTGCATAGTATACCTTTTAAAGTCTCATGCAGACTGTATTTGTAAGAACTGCAACTTTTTAGAGCTCAGGTCCAAACTTCCCAATAGGTGACTAAATAGATGCAGCTGCAGCTCATTTAGAATATCAGTAAATTGATTTCATTAATTCCTATTAAAAAAAAGAAAATTAGATATTCTACACAAAGTGCTTCTATTATCTCTGATTGTTATTAAAAAAGTATTCAGGTACTAAGGAAATGTCAAATCTTTAAGTAGCAGCATGGGTATTGGGAGTATTGGAAGCCCGGTTTGCTTTGATGGTGGCCTTTAGCTTCTGGCTGTTGGCTCCTTCTTTTAATGATTTTTAAGGTCAAGCTATACGTCAATAATGCACAGTGGTACCATAGTTATTAAAGCCGATACTGGTACTTTTTGGAGGTGTGGGTCTGTAACTGGTCCTGCTGGAAAATGAAATCAAACTCTACATGAAGCCCATGTGCAGAAGGCAGCATTTAGTGTTTTAAAGCTCCATGTTTGATGGCAGTTTTCCTGGATGTCTGCTATGTTATGCAGCCGTGTTCAATAGTGGAGAGAAAAAAACAGAACGTCCTGAAGTCTCTGAGTGTTAATTGATTCAGTTCCCTGACTTTTATCCCAATGTTTCAACCGACTGGACTGAGCTGCTTATAGAGTAAAATACAATTTCCAGTAGAAAGTAATGGTTGTAATGATTCTATGATTTCAGTTCGATGAATCATGCAGAGGGAAGGACATCAACTGCAAGAGTAGGAAAATCCCCAACAAGAGCTGCATCACCGTAAATGGACTTCTGATATTCGGTGATCTTGGTACTGAACAAGTTGAATTCCGGACGAACAAAAGCTGTCACTGTAAGTAACAAATGATAATAAAAAAGGGTGGGGTGGGGGTGTTGCCTTGGAACACAAGTCGTCCTAAGAGAGATTTTAGTATCTAAACGTTTAAAAGAAACAAATCAACAGTGCTTCGTTCTTAGGCTTTTGTTGACACAAATGTCTCAGATGATTAAATACATTTTAAAATCAAACAGTACATCTTAAAAGCATTTTTCAGTTGATGAATTCATTGGTTGAAGCCAAAAAGCTTAATCATTTAGTGATGACCTCTAATTTTAACCAGAAGAAACTTTTAGCCCAATCATGACCAAAGTCTAGAATCTCAATCAAATGTAATTCTAGATTTTGGCCATGCCAAATACTTTTATTTACATGATGTCACAAAAATTGACTCTGTCTTCAATTATTCAAATCAGGGCTGGTTACTGAGATCTGTTAGCCTACTTCATGTCGTCAGAAAGGTTCCATTTAGGGGATTTCTTTATTCTAAAAACTTGGCAATAATCAGGTATAAAAATAAAAAAAAATTAACATACAAGTAATAGCCATAAATAATTTTACTGGGGTTGTAGCTCTTAGAAATCAAAGTGTCAGATAAGATGAAAAAAAAAAGAATAAATATTTAAATTTTGGCACTGTACTGGTGGGATTTCTAAAGTCCATTTATTTTTGATTGATTTAATTAATCTATGTGAAAATCCAATCATACAGTCAGTTTGGTTAGAAGTTTTCTCTCCAAGAAAACTGCATCCAGCCATTGACTTTACAGGACGTGCTTCTCCTGGATGAACATGTGGTGACTGAACAAATTAGCTTTCATTATCATTGACTCTACAGCAAAGCCTTTGTTCTTTTTGTATTCCTCTTAAGCATAATGCTGATTTTATTAGGGATGACCTGATATCAATATTGATCCAATATTAGTCAAAAAAAACAAATTTCTGATTTTATCTCCCTGCATCTAAAACATCTAAGATTTTCATGCTAATAGAAACGCTCTGCTTCTGTTAAGTTTCTGTAACTCAGCGGTTCATTTTATGATTTTAGTTCCTGTTTTAGTAATATTACTTGATCAAGCCTTTTCTAGCATTCTGCAGAGTAAAATAAGCAATAAAAGCTGGCATGATTCATGCTGATATCAGCATCGGCCAATTCTCAAAGCTGGAACATCAGTATCCAAAAAAGAATAAATTTAAAAACAATCCACTGGACTTTGTTTCCAAGTTTGAAGACGTTTCACTTCCCATCCAAGAAGCTTTTTCGATTGAGTGGATTGTTTTTAATTTTCTTTTTTTTTTACGACTATGAACTGGATGACTGAGAATCTGTCATCAGTGCCATATCTAAAATGAAAAAAATGTATAAGGGAACACCTTGTTTTTGTTTAAAGTAGTTTTAAAATTGTGGTTTTCACACTTTTCATCACTAAGGCTTCCAAACCCGGTGTAAACACCCTTACCTTTTGTGATTATTGTTTTTATGAAGTTGGTTGAAGGTGATGGTTGATGTGCAGCTCAACTTGCATATCAACATTTTCTAGTATCTAAGTTAAGAACCAGTTTCAGCCTGTTGATCAAATACAGCTGTCAGAGCAAAGGCATAGCTGTATACACACACAAACACTTTAGACATTTTCTGGGGTTTTCTTTACATTTGATCTTCGACTTTTACTTTGTTTTCTTACCTCTGTTGGAGAATGCTGACTTGCTTTAATTACCTTCTGGTTTGCTTATTGCACACATATGTAATGTTAATCTTGTTATAGTGAATATATACAGTGTTTGTGTTTACTAACAAATGGATCAAGCGAGCCAGCATGGCGCCGTAATATGATCAACCTGAGTGATCTTTTGGTGTAGAAATTTGTAATTGTAGTACCAGACAGGACCTATTTAAATCCTGACTGAGTTTTTTTTTTGTTTTGGTAGACCCAGCAGTGACTAAAGTGGGTAGATCATATGACGTGCATGGATCATATGACGTGGATGGAGCAGTAGTGTTCGCCGCCGTACTGGGGTCTATTTTTATCGTGGTGGCCATCGTTGCAGTAGTGTTCATCTGTAGAGTGAAGGCGTGGACCATGGAAACGCCGGTCCCCTTCTTCAAGCATACGGTAAACGCATCGCCTGGGGAATAAAGGTTTTATCTTGTGGTTTTTCTTCCAGCTGACTTTGCTTTTTTCCAACACAGATTGATGTATTCGAGAATCAGCAGTTCTTTCAAACACCCAAAGACCCAAAGATCAGTCCAGTCTCAACCTTTGAGCCTTGCGACAGATCCTCAATCAAATCCGACGGTGATGACTGCTCTGAGCACCTCCAGGGGAACGGCTCTGACTGTACTCACCATGCTAGTGCCACAGGATCCTTGAAAGATTATCTGAACAGCCCACACCAGGAAGAAGAGGGTTTGATGTCTGCAACAGATGCTGACTCTGTGAAGACTGAGTGCGTTTCTATAGGTACCCCCGACGCGGAACCATCACCTTATGACCGCCCCCACTTAGTGATGATGGATATGGGAGATGGAGACTTGGTCACTGGCTACTCCACGAAGTAGAGGAACCTGCTTTTTAACTGGTGTTTTAACAGCAAGCTGATCTGTACCTCAGGCACAAGAGAAACATCAGTATTTGGACTTATTGGGTTGATAACCAGCTAGTTATCCTTCCCCCTCCATGTTTACTGGTGGAGCCCCTCTGCTGGCGCCTCTTTTCAAATGTTAAATCAAGGCTGCACAGGTTTACAATGTTTTACGTGAAAGGTTTTGGTTATTTGCACTCTTTTAATTCCAGATTTATTCAGTGAATTAAAGTTTAACAATGGAAGTTTTTATTGTTTTATCGCTTCATCCCTGGGATTTTCCACCCACATGCTGTTCCAAAGGTAATTGGCTTGTTTTTGTAAAGTCGTACCCAAGACGGACGGAAAGCATGCGACCTGTAAAACTGGTTCTAAAGGCAACAGGAGAGTCTCAATAGATTTTACCTTTTTATTATTGTGAGGTGGGTTTTTTTATATATACATACAGCTGTGTAAGTGTGTAAAAGTGAAATGTATTGTAAAGTTACTCGAACTGACCGAAGATGCCAGTTTCTGATGAAAATTTTCTTTGTTTTGGACGTAATATCTGTATGTTTAAAACTTTTGTTCTGCTCTTAGTTTGCATGAGGAGGAGGAATGTCAACATGTAGCTCTGCCAGAAGCCGCTCTAACGGCAGGTTATCGTTATCTCTGGCAGAGAAACAGAGCACGACAGCGAACTAATTTCTATACGTTTTTATTAAAATATCCAAGATACTGAGTGGTTGTTCAGTTCGACATGATTTCATTAATCTTCCAACAGGAATCCCGCTTCTGAGACAGATTTAACCCTTTGTCACCCTGTGGAACCTGGTTTATTTAGTCCAAAGTCTCTGAAGCTCCAGTAGAACTTCCTGAAACCATCCGGTTCTCCATTGGTCAATGCAGTCCTTTTTTATGCGAGGAGTCCCGTTTCGCTGGAGTGAGTGAAGAACCTGTTGAGCTCCTTCGGTCCGCCATTAAAGCTTCAGGCCCTGGATGTTTGTCCTCAAGTTCAACATTTGCTTCTCCTGTCGGGCCTTCTCCTCCTTAAACGCCGTCTTGTTAGCTTTCTTCTCCACTCTCCTTTCCTAAAGAAAACAGAGGAATGTAACTGGAGCAGTTGAAACATTCAAACGTCACACTTTTGTCGCTGCCCGGGCGTGTCTCTGCCCATAGAAACCAGAAATGCCTTCAGCAAATTCTACCCCTTTAAAAACGCCTTAGGGTGGAGACTATAGATAAAAACAGATGAGATCAGTCACGTGTGTTGCTTTTGTTTCATCCTTGAATTAAGAAGCAGGTGTGCCTGTTAGTGAGACTAAGGTTACCAACTATAGTTTGGAAATGGTGAAAAAATGAAAAAGCAGGAAGACGAAGAAGGAAAGTGTAAATGAATACTACTCAGACACGAGGCAGGAGTTACCAGTTGGTGCAACACTCCCATTTTAAACCCCTTTGTGAAAAGGAAATGATTTCTCTCAGCAAACATCTGACTTTCTACATGGACTAGAGCTGCAATTTAAATGACATGACCATTAGGATAATTATTTTCAGCTTAAAGCCGGGCATACACTGTACGTTTGTTTTTTTTTGCCCTTCTTGGGCTGTTTCTCCAGTTGTGCGAGAATATTTTGATCGTTTGATCAGCCATGTCTTTATGCAATTTTGTGCTGAAAGCCCTAAAAGAAAAGGCGACAACATATTTGGACAAATTGTTTAATATTCCTCTTCTACTTCTTTGGCTTCTGGATAGAAGAGTCCGAGTAGCGCCATCTCACTGCGGAGCTGAGTCCGATGTGGTTTTTAGACGTACAGTGTGAGCAGGTAGATCACATCAGAGCGTCTGGCCGCACAGTTTGAGAACATCGTGAGTTGTGCTCCATGCAAAGGTTGAAAGAAAAAAATCGTGCAGTGTATGCCTGGCTTAATTTAATGATTAATCCACTTTTTTTAGACATTAAATATATTTTGTTGTGTACCTGGAGTCTCAAGGAGAACAGAAAAGGTGAATTCAGTCTCTCCAAGTGCTTGATAAATCTCTTAATTTTGTTCCTGGGCCAAGTCGTATTTTTTCATCCAAAAGTTTTCTATATTATCTGTTTTGTCTGCCTCTGATCACATCCGTTAATCTGTTTTGGAAGAGAATATATAACTCTGATATCAAACAACAAAGAAGACTAAATGGTGTGGAGTGGAATCCACTTTAAGAGCCATAACTGCTCGACAGAAACAAAAGGATTTAAAAGTATGAACTTTCCCCTTTAAAATACAGAAGATTATTCTGAGACATCCAAGAAATTTTCTGCTGAAGTAAGAGAAGGAAATATTGATCAGCTTCTCCTGGCATCTATTTGACATGATCTCACATGGACTAGATTTCTAATCTACATGTTACCATGGTGGCAAAGCCAGCTTTGTGATGCTAAATATTTTGATGTCACCAAAATGGTTTTCAACCATTTATCTCAGACGAGTGAAGCTGACTGAGCAGCTGATGGCGGCAGCTGGAGCTCCAAGAAGCTTCCTCACCTTCCGTTCTTCCTTGATGGCCTGCTTCCTAGCCTTCTTCTCCTCTTTGCTCTCCTCTCTGCTCCGTGGCTGAGTCGAAACACGCGGCAGATCCGAGTCATTGATTCTGGTCATGCGCTCCGCTTGTTTGGCTGTGAGGCCCTTGGAAGGCAGCACATCTAGAGGGATGCCGGTCCTGTTGGACACGCGGATGGGCTTTGGCTGTGGACATGCAAAGATGTAGAGAGACCAGAATGTACTCATTAAACACCATAATTAAAAAAAAACTCCTAGTTTGGTAATGGTTTTGAAGCAGTAAACTAGTTAAATATAAATCTATAATCAAACATCTTAAGCTACATGTTTGAAAATCCTTTCTGGTCTAGATCTAATTTTATGCAATTAGCAGCAGAACAGCTCTACAGGTTAAAGTTGTATCCTCCATAATCTTCCATGTTCTTGATCTTAAACTAGTCTGAACTTGAGAAGTAGCTTCATGATCCAAGATATCGGGTGTTCTACGCTGCACTATAGAACAATCAGAGCAGAACTCATCTCTGAGTGTTTCTCTTGTTACTGTCCAGCCTATCAAAACAATCTGTACATCCTGGGATTTCTACACGGACCAAAAACACTCTCACATGGGGAATCTGACCCATTATTTCAGATTTATGTGTGTTAATCTTCTTTTTATACCTTAGGTGGTTCTTCAATGATTTTAGGTCTGTTGTACAGGTTGGAGTACGTACCTGAAAAACAAAGGAATTTATGGTTAGCTCAAGTAGAACCCATCCACACTGGATGCTACAGTGAAATGTGGGTGTATTTTAGCTAAACGGACCGTAACTTTAAAAAAAGTCACCATTTTTCTATGAGTGTAACGGCCATTTGACAGACGTGGGATTCCTCCCCAGGGCATTTCACCACAACTGCTGATTAAGCTCAAACTCTAAGATGGAAATATGCAAATACCCCGAACGTTCAATCAGCGTAACGGCAGTTGAAACTGTTTTTTTAAACACATTTACCTCCTTATTTGCACATAAATATGAATGAAGCAGCTTAAACATAAATCCTCTTTAAGAAGAATGCCATCAGCTATCGAGGCAGGTGAACACAATGTTCCTACTCAGCTACTTTGTTGCTATAGTTACTGACTTTTTTTTCAGGCCCCTTTTAGTTGTTTTTTTAAAGGAAAAAAACAAATCTAGAGACTATTTCCTTTCTTGGTAACATCATGAAAGCAGTTGAGTTCCCCTTCAGCGATGAGCAGCCGAGCCCCTCCCTCCTCCAAACCACTGCAGGCTGTTTCTGCAGTCGGAGGGCGAAGAGCCACACGTGCAAAGCTTCCACTGATGAATTAAAAAGTGGGAGGTAAATATATTTATATATATATATATAAGCTGTTGCACTTAAATAGATTCTCCCTGCATTTAATTCACACACAGACTCATCCACTATGAGTCTCTGTTAACTGTCTAAGTTGAATTTGGAAACATAAAATTGATTTGATTTCAGTTCAGTTTATAATAACCTGAAGAACCAGAAAATATTTTATAAAGTTTTAAATGTATTTGGATTATTTTTACTGTCTTGCAAATGTAAATGTTCCTATAATAGATACCCCACCCCTACAAAATCCTTTAAGAACCCTGNTGTATCCGGATACAACATTTCAGTATCGATACTTTTTTGAGTTTCGATACTTTTGACAACCCTAATTTCTGATTTTATCTCCCTGCATCTAAAACATCTAAGATTTTCATGCCAATAGAAACGCTCTGCTTCTGTTAAGTTTCTGTAACTCAGCAGTTAATTTTATGATTTTAGTTTCTGTTTTAGTAATATTACTTGATTAAGCCTTTTCTAAAATAAGCAATAAAAGCTGGTATGATTCATAATCATATTTTATGGGGTCAATATCGACATCGACCAATTAAAAACAATCCACTGGACTCTATTTCCAAGTTTGAAGACGTTTCACTTCCCATCCAGGAAGCTTTTTCGATTGAGTGGATTGTTTTTAATTTTCTTTTTTTTTTTTACGACAATGACCTGGATGACTGAGAATCTGTCATCAGTGCCATATCTGAAATGAAAAAAAAAATGTATAAGGGAACACCTTGTTTTTGTTTAAAGTAGTTTTAAAATTGTGGTTTTCACACTTTTCATCACTAAGGCTTCCAAACCCGGTGTAAACACCCTTACCTTTTGTGATTATTGTTTTTATGAAGTTGGTTGAAGGTGATGGTTGATGTGCAGCTCAACTTGCATATCAACATTTTCTAGTATCTAAGTTAAGAACCAGTTTCAGCCTGTTGATCAAATACAGCTGTCAGAGCAAAGGCATAGCTGTATACACACACAAACACTTTAGACATTTTCTGGGGTTTTCTTTACATTTGATCTTCGACTTTTACTTTGTTTTCTTACCTCTGTTGGAGAATGCTGACTTGCTTTAATTACCTTCTGGTTTGCTTATTGCACACATATGTAATGTTAATCTTGTTATAGTGAATATATACAGTGTTTGTGTTTACTAACAAATGGATCAAGCGAGCCAGCATGGCGCCGTAATATGATCAACCTGAGTGATCTTTTGGTGTAGAAATTTGTAATTGTAGTACCAGACAGGACCTATTTAAATCCTGACTGAGTTTTTTTTTTGTTTTGGTAGACCCAGCAGTGACTAAAGTGGGTAGATCATATGACGTGCATGGATCATATGACGTGGATGGAGCAGTAGTGTTCGCCGCCGTACTGGGGTCTATTTTTATCGTGGTGGCCATCGTTGCAGTAGTGTTCATCTGTAGAGTGAAGGCGTGGACCATGGAAACGCCGGTCCCCTTCTTCAAGCATACGGTAAACGCATCGCCTGGGGAATAAAGGTTTTATCTTGTGGTTTTTCTTCCAGCTGACTTTGCTTTTTTCCAACACAGATTGATGTATTCGAGAATCAGCAGTTCTTTCAAACACCCAAAGACCCAAAGATCAGTCCAGTCTCAACCTTTGAGCCTTGCGACAGATCCTCAATCAAATCCGACGGTGATGACTGCTCTGAGCACCTCCAGGGGAACGGCTCTGACTGTACTCACCATGCTAGTGCCACAGGATCCTTGAAAGATTATCTGAACAGCCCACACCAGGAAGAAGAGGGTTTGATGTCTGCAACAGATGCTGACTCTGTGAAGACTGAGTGCGTTTCTATAGGTACCCCCGACGCGGAACCATCACCTTATGACCGCCCCCACTTAGTGATGATGGATATGGGAGATGGAGACTTGGTCACTGGCTACTCCACGAAGTAGAGGAACCTGCTTTTTAACTGGTGTTTTAACAGCAAGCTGATCTGTACCTCAGGCACAAGAGAAACATCAGTATTTGGACTTATTGGGTTGATAACCAGCTAGTTATCCTTCCCCCTCCATGTTTACTGGTGGAGCCCCTCTGCTGGCGCCTCTTTTCAAATGTTAAATCAAGGCTGCACAGGTTTACAATGTTTTACGTGAAAGGTTTTGGTTATTTGCACTCTTTTAATTCCAGATTTATTCAGTGAATTAAAGTTTAACAATGGAAGTTTTTATTGTTTTATCGCTTCATCCCTGGGATTTTCCACCCACATGCTGTTCCAAAGGTAATTGGCTTGTTTTTGTAAAGTCGTACCCAAGACGGACGGAAAGCATGCGACCTGTAAAACTGGTTCTAAAGGCAACAGGAGAGTCTCAATAGATTTTACCTTTTTATTATTGTGAGGTGGGTTTTTTTATATATACATACAGCTGTGTAAGTGTGTAAAAGTGAAATGTATTGTAAAGTTACTCGAACTGACCGAAGATGCCAGTTTCTGATGAAAATTTTCTTTGTTTTGGACGTAATATCTGTATGTTTAAAACTTTTGTTCTGCTCTTAGTTTGCATGAGGAGGAGGAATGTCAACATGTAGCTCTGCCAGAAGCCGCTCTAACGGCAGGTTATCGTTATCTCTGGCAGAGAAACAGAGCACGACAGCGAACTAATTTCTATACGTTTTTATTAAAATATCCAAGATACTGAGTGGTTGTTCAGTTCGACATGATTTCATTAATCTTCCAACAGGAATCCCGCTTCTGAGACAGATTTAACCCTTTGTCACCCTGTGGAACCTGGTTTATTTAGTCCAAAGTCTCTGAAGCTCCAGTAGAACTTCCTGAAACCATCCGGTTCTCCATTGGTCAATGCAGTCCTTTTTTATGCGAGGAGTCCCGTTTCGCTGGAGTGAGTGAAGAACCTGTTGAGCTCCTTCGGTCCGCCATTAAAGCTTCAGGCCCTGGATGTTTGTCCTCAAGTTCAACATTTGCTTCTCCTGTCGGGCCTTCTCCTCCTTAAACGCCGTCTTGTTAGCTTTCTTCTCCACTCTCCTTTCCTAAAGAAAACAGAGGAATGTAACTGGAGCAGTTGAAACATTCAAACGTCACACTTTTGTCGCTGCCCGGGCGTGTCTCTGCCCATAGAAACCAGAAATGCCTTCAGCAAATTCTACCCCTTTAAAAACGCCTTAGGGTGGAGACTATAGATAAAAACAGATGAGATCAGTCACGTGTGTTGCTTTTGTTTCATCCTTGAATTAAGAAGCAGGTGTGCCTGTTAGTGAGACTAAGGTTACCAACTATAGTTTGGAAATGGTGAAAAAATGAAAAAGCAGGAAGACGAAGAAGGAAAGTGTAAATGAATACTACTCAGACACGAGGCAGGAGTTACCAGTTGGTGCAACACTCCCATTTTAAACCCCTTTGTGAAAAGGAAATGATTTCTCTCAGCAAACATCTGACTTTCTACATGGACTAGAGCTGCAATTTAAATGACATGACCATTAGGATAATTATTTTCAGCTTAAAGCCGGGCATACACTGTACGTTTGTTTTTTTTTGCCCTTCTTGGGCTGTTTCTCCAGTTGTGCGAGAATATTTTGATCGTTTGATCAGCCATGTCTTTATGCAATTTTGTGCTGAAAGCCCTAAAAGAAAAGGCGACAACATATTTGGACAAATTGTTTAATATTCCTCTTCTACTTCTTTGGCTTCTGGATAGAAGAGTCCGAGTAGCGCCATCTCACTGCGGAGCTGAGTCCGATGTGGTTTTTAGACGTACAGTGTGAGCAGGTAGATCACATCAGAGCGTCTGGCCGCACAGTTTGAGAACATCGTGAGTTGTGCTCCATGCAAAGGTTGAAAGAAAAAAATCGTGCAGTGTATGCCTGGCTTAATTTCATGATTAATCCACTTTTTTTAGACATTAAATATATTTTGTTGTGTACCTGGAGTCTCAAGGAGAACAGAAAAGGTGAATTCAGTCTCTCCAAGTGCTTGATAAATCTCTTAATTCTGTTCTTGGGCCAAGTCATATTTTTTCGTCCAAAAGTTTTCTATATTATCTGTTTTGTCTGCCTCTGATCACATCCGTTAATCTGTTTTGGAAGAGAATATATAACTCTGATATCAAACAACAAAGAAGGCTAAATGGGGTGGAGTGGAATCCACTTTAAGAGCCATAACTGCTCGACAGAAACAAAAGGATTTAAAAGTTTGAACTTTCTTCTTTAAAGTACAGAAGATTATTCTGAGACATCTAATAAATTTTCTGCTGAAGTAAGAGAAGGAAATATTGATCAGCTTCTTCTGGCATCTATTTGACATGATCTCACATGGACTAGATTTCTAATCTACATGTTACCATGGTGACAAAGCCAGCTTTGTGATGCTAAATATTTTGATGTCACCAAAATGGTTTTCAACCATTTATCTCAGACGAGTGAAGCTGACTGAGCAGCTGATGGCGGCAGCTGGAGCTCCAAGAAGCTTCCTCACCTTCCGTTCTTCCTTGATGGCCTGCTTCCTAGCCTTCTTCTCCTCTTTGCTCTCCTCTCTGCTCCGTGGCTGAGTCGAAACACGCGGCAGATCCGAGTCATTGATTCTGGTCATGCGCTCCGCTTGTTTGGCTGTGAGGCCCTTGGAAGGCAGCACATCTAGAGGGATGCCGGTCCTGTTGGACACGCGGATGGGCTTTGGCTGTGGACATGCAAAGATGTAGAGAGACCAGAATGTACTCATTAAACACCATAATTAAAAAAAAACTCCTAGTTTGGTAATGGTTTTGAAGCAGTAAACTAGTTAAATATAAATCTATAATCAAACATCTTAAGCTACATGTTTGAAAATCCTTTCTGGTCTAGATCTAATTTTATGCAATTAGCAGCAGAACAGCTCTACAGGTTAAAGTTGTATCCTCCATAATCTTCCATGTTCTTGATCTTAAACTAGTCTGAACTTGAGAAGTAGCTTCATGATCCAAGATATCGGGTGTTCTACGCTGCACTATAGAACAATCAGAGCAGAACTCATCTCTGAGTGTTTCTCTTGTTACTGTCCAGCCTATCAAAACAATCTGTACATCCTGGGATTTCTACACGGACCAAAAACACTCTCACATGGGGAATCTGACCCATTATTTCAGATTTATGTGTGTTAATCTTCTTTTTATACCTTAGGTGGTTCTTCAATGATTTTAGGTCTGTTGTACAGGTTGGAGTACGTACCTGAAAAACAAAGGAATTTATGGTTAGCTCAAGTAGAACCCATCCACACTGGATGCTACAGTGAAATGTGGGTGTATTTTAGCTAAACGGACCGTAACTTTAAAAAAAGTCACCATTTTTCTATGAGTGTAACGGCCATTTGACAGACGTGGGATTCCTCCCCAGGGCATTTCACCACAACTGCTGATTAAGCTCAAACTCTAAGATGGAAATATGCAAATACCCCGAACGTTCAATCAGCGTAACGGCAGTTGAAACTGTTTTTTTAAACACATTTACCTCCTTATTTGCACATAAATATGAATGAAGCAGCTTAAACATAAATCCTCTTTAAGAAGAATGCCATCAGCTATCGAGGCAGGTGAACACAATGTTCCTACTCAGCTACTTTGTTGCTATAGTTACTGACTTTTTTTTCAGGCCCCTTTTAGTTGTTTTTTTAAAGGAAAAAAACAAATCTAGAGACTATTTCCTTTCTTGGTAACATCATGAAAGCAGTTGAGTTCCCCTTCAGCGATGAGCAGCCGAGCCCCTCCCTCCTCCAAACCACTGCAGGCTGTTTCTGCAGTCGGAGGGCGAAGAGCCACACGTGCAAAGCTTCCACTGATGAATTAAAAAGTGGGAGGTAAATATATTTATATATATATATATAAGCTGTTGCACTTAAATAGATTCTCCCTGCATTTAATTCACACACAGACTCATCCACTATGAGTCTCTGTTAACTGTCTAAGTTGAATTTGGAAACATAAAATTGATTTGATTTCAGTTCAGTTTATAATAACCTGAAGAACCAGAAAATATTTTATAAAGTTTTAAATGTATTTGGATTATTTTTACTGTCTTGCAAATGTAAATGTTCCTATAATAGATACCCCACCCCTACAAAATCCTTTAAGAACCCTGAGTCCGAGGTTTTTTTTTTTTTTTTTTTTTTTCTCTTCTTCTCAACAAAAACTGTAATGGATCTTTAAAAATAAGAGAAAAAGGACAAATTGCAGAAAATGTAAATACTAAAAGTTTAGCTCTGTAATGTTCTTGAAATGCTTCAGAGGTTTGGGAAAATTCATCATATTTTAAGTTTAAGTTGGAAGAAAATGCTGTAGATAATATAAAGTAGGATTGCTTAAGAGGTTTGATCCAAACAGGCCATTTTGAGCATTTAGTGACATCTAGTGGTTAATCAGAGTTAAATATTAAAACTTTTCTTCTTTGAACGTTTGAAAACTCTTTGGCTTGATTTTCCTTTACCCGCCTCTCCACTGCAGAAATCTGTTTTGTTTTCTGGGTATTTCGGACTGAATATTGAATTAGATCTGGACATAAACAGGGCTGTTTTCTGCTGTACGTTTAGGGCCAAAGTCCTGCCAGAACCTGAACCGAGGCCCAGTTTTTCTGCAGCCTCCAACATGTTTCCTTCCAGGGCTGCACAGTTTTTAGTCCCAATCCATTTCCGATCAACTCTGGCAAGCAGCCATCACCATTTTTCACTGTGAGGTAAAGTGCTAAGGTGGACAATTGGCTTTAGATTTCTGCCACACAGTATTTCCCATGAAGGGCAAACGGCTCCATTTTGGTCTTACTTGACCTGCTGCACTCTTCTGAATTCATTCCTCTGGTTTGTTCTTCTGTTCACAAAACATTTAGATTTAAACTGAGGTTAAACTCCAGAGGACTCCATTAAACCTAAACCATTAAATCATGGTCAGAAAATGACATCACTGAACAGATTTTATTTCATCACTAGTTTGTAGGTTTTCAAGTTGGAAGACATAGAAAATTCATTCATTTCTCTTATCTGGATGATATTTAGTAGCCTGACGTAGTCCTACTCAATTCTAGTCAGAATATGAGTCTGATGCTGCTCCATAGAGCTGTGATTATGCGGCCTGTTTCAAACGAACCAGGAAAAAAAATGCCTCTGCACTCAATTGGATAGACCTACAACCAATAAGAGCAACGGAGTGCGTGACGTATGTTAAGCAACACATAGTTGTTGTCAACAAAAATCAAAGCGTGCAGTTGCACGCCTAGAATAAGAAGATGAGCGTGAACGATTTTTGCCGGTGTTGCAAAAAGAACCTGAGGATACAAGGAGTCATTCAATACACGAACCTCATTTTTAAGAAAAACAGTAAAGGCGAATGCACATACGATCAAGTTCACCGTTTAGGATTACAACTCTACAAAACGTCAAATAAATCGCATCGCCTTTGTCAGTCCTGTCAAGAGCGTTATAACACGGTTGGAACGCGACATGCTTGTGTTAAAAAAATGGGCAGACCACAAAGGAGACCAGCCGGAAGAACCGTCTTCATCTGAGGCATCAGAGAAAAGATACCGGGAGCCTACTCCTTCCAAGACGCCCAGGACTCTGAAGAAGTTCTGCCCCAATCCGTCAACTCCAACCAGTACAAAAACGCAAAGAATCATTACAGAGGTAAGGTTATTAAAACATTTCTACTCACACCTCGGCAGCCATTGTTGTTGTCACCCAAGCGCGCTTTGGTGACGCGGTTGATTACGTTACTGTTGATCATCTGTCCATCACCGTATAAAGCCCGCCCTGACAATTTTATTGGCCCGACCAGATATTGGGCTAGCAAACTCGCGCTACTATTGAGCAATGCCAGACCGAACTTCCCGAACTCAAACGTGGGCGGGACTAAGTTCGGAATGGCACCCAGGCTAGCTATTTAGTTTGTTTTCCAGTATCTGTATATAAATAGCTAAAAGGTATAGACCTCCAAGTCAAGTAATGCTGTGAAAATAAGTTTTACTACAAGTTTAAATATGAGAAGGAAAAAAAATATATGAATCTATAGATAGTTTTGTTTCCAGATGCCTTTAATTCCTTTTTTTTTTATCAATCAAACCCAATGACACCTCACTAGTGCCACTGGGTCTGATGTTAAACAAGAGACGAGACTGTCAAATATATTACAAATAAATTGCATTTGATGTCAGAAGGTTGCACGTCTTCCGTCCACGACCCTTTTAGTTTCATAAAACTGATGTAATAGGAAGTAAAAAGTTGTTTAAATAAATGCATTTTCTCTTTAATTTGAGCAAAATATTAAGATTATCTGCCAATGGGGTATTTATCTCTTATATTATGCACTTGAACTAAGGTAATATTTTTTTTTTCTTAATCTAAAAGCAAATCTTATTCCAGTGCCTACTGGATTTTTTCACCTCATCAAAACAAGGGAACATAAAATTATTTAGAGAAAAAAAAACTTTTTGTATTGTATAGATCCAAGAAGCAAAAGATTGTGAATTATTTGTGATATAAAGGTCACAGGCTATGCTAACTGCTGCTTAATAATAAAAAAAAAAACAGCATCTACCTCAAGTTAAAGACTTACTGATGATGGTTTCACAGTCCCAATTCTCCTGAGGAGCCTCGATAGCAACCGTCTCCATCTCTTCTTCCTCCTCATCTTCATCCTCCTCCTTCACCACAGGAAGTTCTTTGGGACCCAAATCCTCAGGCCTCAGAGAGCTGATCCAAAAACACCACAAGAACATGTTAGAAAAACACTTTAATTTGTGAATAAAGGATTAGAAGAGTCTCTCACTCTTTCTGTTTTTCTTTAAAGTAGTCTCTGATGACTTCCTCCAGGCGGCCGCTGTCCGGTCCGATGAACCCCTCCAGCTCAGCGTTGTCCAAAGCACCGATCTCATCATCATCAAACTGTTCATAAAACTGGAAAACAATAACATCACTGCATCACTACCATTGCTCAGTAACATAACATCTAAACTTCTCGTTTATTCAGTTCATCCAATGTTATCCATATCGGAAAACATACAAGAAAAGGTCCCAGTTGGAAGTAGTTGTCCAACTTTCATATTTGTTTCACTGACTCTTTAAAAACTCCATAAAAAAACACAGCTTTCACACCAACAATCCCAGTTAGTGACACTGATTAGAGGTAAATCACTAATGCACAATATTATCTAAAGATAAATAATAAGTCCTATTGATCTACTTCATAAATTAAAGATTTTATTATTAAGCTTCTTTACTGTGAACCAAATCTTAGACTGTTTGAAACATCTGATCCACTTAAACTTACCCAGAACTGAGAGGCGATGAGATAAATTATTTATAAAGTAATAATCAAAGGAAACCAGCAGATGAACAACTGATTTCACGCCCTGCTTTGGTTGTGGGCGATTTGACGATGGCTTCTGATCCTAAATCACTACAATTCCTGAATAGATTTGAGATTTTCATTGGTAGCAAGAAATACTTGTTTAAATATTGATCCTTCAAAGTGTAAAGTTTTCATGAACTTTAAAAGAAAAAGAAATGGAAATTGAAGAAAAGTTCATTTGGGTGTCTCATTTGAACCAAGTTAATTCAGGTTAATCCGGTTAGCAATGTTGGAACACAATTTACTAACTGGATTCTAAACTTTTCTTACAGACCATCTATATATGTATGCGTGTTATTGTAGCATATTATTAGGGGTGTAAATAATAATCGTTTTGTATCGATGCATTGATCCAACAGCCGATGATTCGATGCATCGATACGTCCGGAAGAGTATTGATTCATGTTTTTTTTTTTCCCTCCGGTCCATTTTTATCCATTTGCTCCTGGGCCTAATACTCCCTCCTGTGCTGCGATGGCGCTAAACCTATTTTGCCCTCCTACCTCGCTTCCTGGTTATACTCTTACAGCAGTGTGTTGCAGTGAGCTTGACACAGGCATTTTTGATTTATGCTCAATACCGAAGCGTGGTCTGTGCTACACGCTGTGGGTCTAGATACAGGCGAGGCGGTGAGGAAGTGGTGGCGGGCCCATTGCTGGCCCCTCTGGACACTGGCTCTGGGCTCGTTATAAATACTCTATGCCAGAGATCACGGATTAGCTGACCGCGGTCCGAATCCGGATCCACCTGCTGGCTAATCCGGACCCAATCTGATTTCAAACATTTATAAATTATCGCATGTTGTCCGACGGCAGTGTCTGACTTCACTTGCGCCGCTTCTCCTGTTAATACGGTAAAGCCTTCCAGGACCAGGCTGCATGTGATGCCAATGAGCCAATGAGCTGTCAGTCTGGGTTGCTGCAGCTGCAACTGTTAGACACAGCAGGCAAACCTGTGACAAGCCGGGTGATGGGAAAGAAAAGAGAGCAGAGAAAGTGTGGACTGCTGGAAGAACTGTGGTGAACTAGTGAAAGAAAAGTGAAATGGCGTGCTCAAAGATGACCCTGCACATTTAGAGGATGTTTGGCTCAACCTGCTGCTGTG